GCATTGACAAAGAGAAGGGCTGAAATGTCTGGCATTGACAAAGAGAAGGGCTGGAATGTCTGGCATTGACAATGATGAGGGCTGCAATGTCTGGCATTGACAAAGAGAAGGGCTGCAATGTCTGGCATTGACAATGATGAGGGCTGCAATGTCTGGCGTTGACAAAGAGAAGGGCTGCAATGTCTGGCATTGACAATGAGGAGGGCTGCAATGTCTGGCATTGATAATGAGGGAGGGCTGCAATGTCTGGCATTGACAATGAGGGAGGGCTTCAATGTCTGGCATTGACAATGATGAGGGCTGCAATGTCTGGCGTTGACAAAGAGGAGGGCTGCAATGTCTGGCATTGACAATGATGGAGCGCTGCAATGTCTGGCATTGATAATGAGGGAGGGCTGCAATGTCTGGCATTGACAATAATTGAGGCTCTGTAGTATTCCAGCCAACAGCAATCAAATGAAACCGGTTGATTTTGTCACAGGAATCTTGTGAAGTACCCTCAGATCCAGGCATATACGTTGCAGCGTTCATGTCAGTGCCAGTTCCTTGGTGGGGGAAGTTTATCCAATTGGGGACGGCTTCCTTAACTAGATGGAGCTTAGGTGATAAAATTTATTTTACAAGCGTTTTATCAAAATGGCATAAAATATGATATTGAAAAATCTCCATTTATTATTTGGCAGTAGAAGAGTAAACAGGCGTTTTCTGTTATTTCTGTATATTCCCCGTATTTAATAATCTTTGGTGACCAAGAATAAAGCGTAATTAAATTCCCTGCGAAAATGATCAACTATAATCTTTAAATATCATGTCATTCAGGTAAACCCTGCAACATTGGTAACATCTTCATTATTGGGTCCTCAGCAACACATCAAAATTGTTTAATAAACAAGAGGCCCATAGGGCCTGTATCGCTTACCTGAATATGTTTAAAATAATTAGTATGAAGAAAAGATATAGCACTCATGGTAGCTAGGTGCTGTAAGTACATATGAAATTTCAGAAAGATCCATCCAGTACTTGAGATATAGCGAGAACAAACTTCAAACAGAGCCCCAGCCCTATGCCCCTAGGGGGGTCATACCCAAGGCTTATACAAATTGAGTCCCCTTGGCCCAAGGATGCTCCAGACTGAATTAGGATAAAATCCCTTAATCCCTATGGTAGAAGAAGGATTTTTAAGGTTTTACTTCTATTTCCTCTATTGGGCCCCACCCCTCAGGTCCCGGGGGGGGGGGGGGGGGGGGCACACCCACTGCTTATACAGAATTTGTTCCCCTTTACCCAATGATGCTCATGGACCAAATGCCTTTATTCCTACAGAATAAGAAGGATTTGCTATGTTTCCCCTATTGGGCCACGCTCGTCAGGCCCCTGGGGGGGGGGGGAACCCCTTCACCCAAGGATTATTCAAGACTAAATATGGAACAAATCCTTTCATTCTTACAGAAGAAGAAGGATTTTAAAGAATTTGATATATTTCCCCTATTGGGCCCCGCCCCTCAGGTCCTAGGGGGGCTAGACTCACCATTTGTACAAAATTGGTTCCCCTTTACCCAAGGATGCTCTACACCAAATATTGACCAAATCCTTTCATTCCTACAGAAGAAGGATTTTAAAGAAAAATTTGCTATATTTCCCCTATTGGGCCCTGCCCCTCACAGCCCCCAGGGGTTCCACACACACCATTTATACAAAATTTGTTCCCCTTCCCCCAATGATGCTTCTGACCAAATAAGGAACAAATCCTTTCATTCCTACAGAAGGAGAAGGATTTTAAAGGTTTTACCTTTATTTCCCCTATTGGGCCTCAGCCTCCAGGGGTACCAGACCCACCATTTATACAAAATTGAGTCCCCTTGGCCTAAGGTGGTCCAGACCAAATTTAGTCCAAATCTACTGGGCTGTTCAGGACAGGCTCAGGTATGTGAGCTAAACAATAGGCCCAGGGGCCTTCATAGCTTACCTGGTATTTTATTTTTCAATTTAAAACATGCTGAGTACCATACAGGTTTATCAAAGGAGTACAAGAAACAAAGTTGCAAGAAGAACTACATATAAATCTGTTTTGGTGGGAAAGACACCAAGAAAATGAGTTTCCATGTTATGTTCCAATTTTCCTCTTTTTCCCCTATTGGGCATCACATGCACCTTTTTATACAAATTAAACAAATTGAGTTTTTTTCCCCTAAGCATGCTTCAGACTGCATTTGGTTTAAATCCCTTCATTTGTACAGAAGGGAAAATATTTTTACTCTATTTGCCCAATTGGGCCCCTCTCCTCTGCCCCTGGGGGGCACATCTTCCATTTATAAATATTAAATTCCCTTTGCTCAAAGATTCTCTAAAATAAGTTTGGTTTAAATCCCTTCAACGGAGGTACAGAATGAAAAGGATCTTTAATGTTTTCCTTTATTTCCCCTTAAGGGCCCCACCCATCTGCCCCAAAGAAGGGGATCCACACACCTCAGTTTATACAAAATTGATTCTTTTGTCCCTAAACATGCTTTAGACTGCATTTGGTTTAAATCCCTTCACTTGTATAGCAGGAGAAAAAAAACCCTCTATTTCCCCTATTGGGCCCCGCCTCTATGCCCCCAGAGGGGCCATACCCTCAGTTTATACAAACTTGAGGCTCCTTTGTCAAAAGATGCTCTAGAACAAATTTCGACAAAAACCTTCTATTGGTTGAGAAGAAGAAGATTTTTAAAGATTTACCTATATCCCCTATTTGGCCCCGCCCCTCTGCCTCCAAGGGGACCATACAAATCTGAGAACCCTTTGGCCAATGATGCTCCAGACCAAATTTGGTCAAAATCCTCTGAGTTAAGGACTAGTAGCATTTTAAAGGAAAAAGTTGACGGACGCCGAACGCCGGACGCTGCGCACCATGGCATCAGCTCACTAGTGGCCCTTCGGGCCAGGTGAGCTAAAAAAAACTATAACACGACATTAGCATACAAAATTTTATATTTTAAAACAGAGCAGTACATATATTGAAAGCAAATTATTGAACAAAAAACCTGACAATGGATAATTAACATTAAAAATACATTCCATATAAAATCATATAATCTTCTGATGGAACAAATGATGGTGCTGTAAAAAGAATCAAACTACCAATTATTTCAGCAACAGAGTTATCCAACCAAGGAACTCTCTACCAGAGCATGTGACCTCGGCTCCTAGTGTTAACTGTTTTAATGACAGGTTAAACAAGAATTGGAAAAATCATCCACGGAAATTTGAGCCCTCGTTTTTATAGATACAGGCTCGCGAGCAGACAATGACATTACTAGTTTCCGACTCGCTTCCGATAAGTGTACTTTTTAACAACTGTATTGTAGATACAGAAAATTGTGACTCTAATCTAAGCGTTACTAAATAAGTCTAGGAACTGCTATAATACCAAGGGGAACATGATCATGCAGAGATAACTGTAAGTAAAATAATGAACATAATATTGTTAATAGCTAACTATAAGTATTGAAAATAAACCTGCTAGCGCAACCAGAAGGAAGTCGCGTCCAGCAAAAGTTTACCGACAGTCTATCATACATCACAAAAAGCCATTGGCTTACCTCGATGTCAACCAGTGATTCAGTGATTCAGTGCTTCTAAGGAAGGTTTGATAAACTGCATTACATCTCTATGGTATAATACAACAAGAGATCCTAAAAGATCAGATCTACAAAATAGGATCTTTTCCCTTCTTTGCTCTTCATTTTCCTTACAGGTACAATGCCCCAGTCATGTTAGAAATCCTAAATATGAATCTGTTATTTGCCACTATGACAAATGCTGTTTCGAATTGCATAACTATATGTATATGTAAAAAGCTAAGAATTCATAATTCTTGCATAATAAGAAGTGCTGTCAAAGACAGATGAATTCTCTTTAGAGCCAAGGGTATTTTTAACAAGAGGCCTAACATATAAAGGAGTGATAAAAAGTTGATTGCCTGGTGGCGATCCTGTTTTTCAATCAGTACCAAATAAATAGTGCTAACAGTATGTTACTCTCGAAATTCAAAATGGCCACCTGTTGGCCAACTTGGTTTCCATCAAAATCAGAAAAGTTTTAATGTAAAATTTGGCATTTATATATGTATGTTTTACAATTAGGCAACTACTGTTATTTTAATTACAGGCCTTGTAACAGGTCCAAAAGTCTCCTTTATCAAACACTGAAAGGATTAAAGCTGGAAAACAGTCTGATCCAGTCAATAATGTTAATTGAAAATATTAGTTAGAACTGAGGAAAAACATAGAAGTCAGATTGCTTTGATTCATCATTACAAAGAGAGGAATACACTGATATATTACTTACATCATCCATTAAAATTATTCCCTCCTTTAATGTAATGTATTTTACATATTTGCAGTTGCAAATTGGAAAACACCTATCCTCCTGAAATAACATGTATATCTGTTATCAAATACATTGTACAGCTATAAAAAGAGTGTCTCACATAAAAAAAACACCTTTATCAAATGACATGAATTGGATCAGTCTCTAGGAGACATTTGAAGCCTGGTAACTGACATGGATTGAATCAGTCTCTAGGAGACATTTGAAGCCTGGTAACTGACATTAATTGGATCAGTCTCTAGGAGACATTTGAAGCCTGGTAACTGACGTGTATTGGATCAGTCTCTAGGAGACATTTGAAGCCTGGTATCTGACGTGAATTTGATCAGTCTCTAGGAGACATTTGAAGCCTGGTATCTGACGTGAATTTGATCAGTCTCTAGGAGACATTTGAAGCCTGGTAACTGACATTAATTGGATCGGTCTCTAGGAGACATTTGAAGCCTGGTAACTGACATTAATTGGATCGGTCTCTAGGAGACATTTGAAGCCTGGTAACTGACATGGATTGAATCAGTCTCTAGGAGGCATTTGAAGCCTGGTAACTGACATTAATTGGATCGGTCTCTAGGAGACATTTGAAGCCTGGTAACTGACATTAATTGGATCGGTCTCTAGGAGACATTTGAAGCCTGGTAACTGACATTAATTGGATCGGTCTCTAGGAGACATTTGAAGCCTGGTAACTGACGTGAATTTGATCAGTCTCTAGGAGACATTTGAAGCCTGGTATCTGACGTGAATTTGATCAGTCTCTAGGAGACATTTGAAGCCTGGTAACTGACATGGATTGGATCAGTCTCTAGGAGACATTTGAAGCCTGGTAACTGATGTGAATTGGATCAGTCTCTAGGAAACATTTGAAGCCTGCTAACTTATCATATGAATTGAATTTGAAGCCTGGTAACTTATCTTATAATTAAATCAGTCTCTAGGTGACTTTTGAAGCCTTGTGACTGACATGAACTAGATCCGTCTCAAAGAGAGACTCTTGAAGCCTGGTAACTGACATGAATTGAATCAGTCTCTAGGAGACTCTTGAAGCCTGGCTACTGACTTGAATTGAATCAGTGTACAGGAGACTCTTGAAGTTTTATGACTGACATTATTGGATCAGTCTCTATGAAAACTCTCAAACATTTGCCAATAAAAATTTAAAAATCCATTACATATTTGGTCTGCATTATACTAACATAATATACTGTCATATACTGATATGATATATGATATGATATATGATATAATGTAGCATCAATTTTACACAGTATTTATCAAACATTTAAGCTGTCCAACTCTAAATCTCCATCAAAGACTCTTAAAAGAATTTTCATCAACTCTCTAAACTTCATTATTTACTTCATATGCCTACCTTATCATTAGTGTTCTAAACATTCACTCTATATACAGGAAACCCTTTATAAGTGACTTTATTCATCAATTATCTAAATCTGTCCATTTTTGAATTTCTTACCCGTGAGTAATGCTAGTGTAATCAATTAAAAAATACATAATACTGTACATAACATATGAATGAGAAATAAACTGATATTTCAATAACTACCCTTCTTCAGTGGACTGGCCTGACTATACCAGTTCTGAGTCAGACTCGGAGAGTGAGGTCGAGGCTAGGACATATATATATATATACTTTGCATAAAAATATACAACACTTTTCTACAAACAAAAATCTCATCAAAAAGTGTTAATACTTTGAAAACTGTATCATGGTATCTCTCTAATGTAACAAATATATAATCATGTAAAAAATCTTTTCAAAATAATCTTAAATATGAACATACCAATAAGTGTAAACAAATTATAGTGAAATTGATTCATGCAGCTATATATGACACATGTATGATAACATTTGCAAACAAATATCTATATATGGTATATATACAATAAGGTCACCACTCATCTACTTGACTGAACTCAATATAACTATTTTCATATGCGTCTTTCATGTTCAAAACAAAAATACATATTTTAATGGCACAAGTTTAATTGGTAAGTATTTGACCGCCTCTACCGATTTAAGATCTACACATCTGCACCAACCTTTCCAAGGTTTTGTAAATAAAACACATACATATGCAACATCTAGTACTCATGGTTACACTCTTTGATTAAACAATTACAAAGGGAGAATCAACTTTCATGGGGAATGCAAACATTGAAATGTAAAAGTGGTGATCAGATCTTTGCTCCAAAGCCTTTTTTGCCTCCCTCCTCACTCAATATCTCCTTAGCCAGTTGTTTAGCCTGTAGGTGATGATATATTAGACTTGTGATCTTAATTGATGAGGGTTAATTTTAAAGTCAGTGCCGCAGTTTCCTATGTAACCAACAGAATGTCGGACGTCTTGGTGGTCTTGGTCGTATGACTGCTAGTGTTTATCTGACTGGTCTCACTGTTCTCCGTGGATCAGTATCTCTAAAATATCTCAAACTCATAACTAAACTCACAGTCTCGTTTTTAGTTATAAGATTAATGCAATTTAACATTCTGATTGAAATTCTACAATGCTATAACAAAATTTAAAATTAATATATCCTTTCTATTCACATGCGTAAACTCTATTTATGAGATTTCAATTATTTTCATTAATTCTATAAATTCATTCATTTTAACGAAAAAACACCAATCTATGAATTTATATATATAATTATTGCATGTATAATGTTTTATTCACAGATGTTCAGATCCATGTGTATTTTCAGTTCAGTTTTCAGTGACAATTAAGTATTCGGAATACTTGCTTTTTTCACTATGAAATACTGTCACCTGATCCTTTCCCAATGAATTCTTGTCTCTTTACACAAACCATTTCCATGAGATTCTGTGAAAAGTGTGTTTTCCTTTGGAGGTATTCACACATTCTCCGTATCCATCTGCTGGATAACATTATCAAACTTCTCTCCCAGCTTTAGATCTCTGGTTTCTTCTTCCTCATCCAGGTCTGCTATTATCTGTTATCAAAATGGATAATATACAAAAATTAAGATGGACAACTCAATTGAAAATGACGTTACTGCATGTACATGTGGGTTTCAGGCAGTCTCTAACCTCCTCAAAAATAAGAACAAAAAGAGAAAATAAATAAATGGAATGATTAATCAATATACTGCAGATTGTATGTTTTTCTGCACACTAAACTTGTAAACCTTTCTACAATACCTATAACAAAAATTATTGTTTTACCAAGCATGTACGTGTAACGCTATTTTTAAATTATCCGACACATGACACAACCAATACAAGCAAAAATGATGTACATGTACCAACTGTACATGTGAATTTTTTTATTGAATTTAGTTTATAGGAGGAGTTGTAAGTACAAGATTTTATCTACAAACAGACAGGCTGATTCGTGTATTTCCCTTAAGGTCCTTGCCAGGGTTTAAAAGTCTTACTTGAAGACTTTATTAAACAAAATAAATACGACATGAAATAAGAGCATTTACCCACATCAGGAAAGATCATCAGAAGAGCTCGATAATAATCAATAGCAAAAAAAGTCATTTGAAAAGATTATTAAGATTTAGATTAAAAGATGTTCCTCTTTTCATGTATTTGTTCTTGAGGCTAGTATCATATATCAGAACGGCAAATGTCCAGGTGACACACATACTTTTGTCTGTCTCGGACAAAGGTGTAAATCAACACATATTTTATACAATCAATAGGTTTTTATCTTCTTTTATAATAATTACCTCATCAGAAAATATTTTGACCATGGCAAAAAGCTTCTTCAAAGCAGGCAGTCTCTTCACTTTGATTTCCTGGGTTTGTTGCTGGCAAAAACAAGTAGCAAAACAATAATATTTAGACTCTTTGAAGACTTTTGATGATATCATCATATTGGGCTTAGGAGTTATTTTAAATGCTATTAAAGTAGAGAAGGACACTATACAGGCAAAACAAAACTAGTCAATGTTTTTTGGGGTGTACCTAACAAAATATCAAAATTTGATAATAGGTTTCCGGGCTATTTTTTTTAAATATTCTTTGAAAGAGTTACTCTCCTTTGAAGTCCGAAAAATGTCATTTTTTTGCTCTTTTTAGTCATTAATTAAAGGTACCCACCAATTTTTTTTTCAAAAAGGCCCCCACCTGCAACTGGCTTAGGTGACTTAAACATAAGACTTGGAAAGGATATATATCTTATTTCAATCAACAATAATGATTAAAAAAAAAAAAAAAAAAATTGACTTTGGTTTTTGACATGTTAAAAGGATTGTCCAACCAATTTATATATCATTACAGTGTATTGAGTGTTTGGTCATGTGATACCTGTCTGTCTCTTCCTTAAGCTGTCAGCCACCTGGGTTTCTGATCAGTCCCAAAATTTTATATGCAAAACTAAGGACCATGGGGAACCTTCATGGGAAATTTGAGAAAGATGTACCCCCAGTACTTTCTGATAATAAAGAGATAACAAACTTTACTCTAAAAATTGAAGATAGCCCTCTGTCGGCTATCTTACTTAAGATAGCCCCCTGTCGGCTATCTTGGTTTCTGATCAGCCCCAAAAATTGATATGCATACCTATAAGGACCAAGGGGAACCTTCAGCTGTAATTTGAGAAAGATCTCTTCATTTTCTTTCCGAGAAATAGCGCTAACAAGGATTGTTTAAGGAGAGTCGGACCACAGACCACGGACGAAAGGGTAATTTAAATAGCCCACCATCTGATGGTGGTTGGTTAAAAATATAAGCAATAAACTGCTTAGGTGTTGCAGATCTGAGCTGGTAGTACTACCACATGTGTCAGAGACAAACTGAAAAGTGCGCAATCGACACATGTACTGGCAGGGGTTTTACAACTTATATTAATCACTCTTATTGGCCGTGATGTTAGCGCGGGGAGGTGTTAATGTGGGAATGGCAAGTGTGCTATCCACCGAGACCACCCCTATTATATCTACGCAGTGTATTGCTTGAAAATCTGTCCAATATATCAGAGTACATTAATCAGCTATATCACAAAGTTTACTCTTTTAAGCAAATTTGCAGGAAAGACAAAGTCACTCCAGATGTTGACAATGAATCACTAGAACAAAGACAAGTCAACCAGGGCCGCCACGTGGCTTACCTCTCCCCCCATCCCACCCCCAGACAAGTCGACCAGTCATTTTGTTTAGTTAGAGTGATCTTGACTTTGACCTTAGAAAACTTTTTGAGCCCCTTCCCACATCAACATATCACAGTGTATCACTATTTTCAAACTTCCAAAAGATAATTAAGTCTTTTGGATTCTGAGATAAGGACTAAACCCCCATGATCTAAATTGTCTTTTGATAGAAGGGCACCCACATCTCCAATGTTGGGTGGTTGTAACTAGGTCTGCTATACCAGTTAAGCCTCAGTCACACATTCAGGATTGTTACTGCCGTCCTTGAAAGGACCGCTCCCGATTAAGAATAATCAAAAGTCGGATGAAGATCGTGTGATTTGTGGCGTGAAATTCACAAATTTGTGAAAACATTTATTTAATCACGACAACAATCAGATATTGTTCAGGAAGCGCCCCGATTCAGTCGTTTCCGGACAAAATCGGCTAGAAACGGCAATGAACAATTTCTCCAAATCTTGCCCGTTTATCACGACAGCGTCCCGATCCACACGACACTGTCCAGACAAAACAGGATATTGTTACGATTTTGATCTGATACAGCAGAATCTGTCACGACATAGTCACGATTGTAATCCAACTAGACAAAATCGGCTGAGTTTCCCGAATGTTACGGGACGCACCTAACTATCGGGAGTGCTTGGCGGACCTCTCCGGACCCTCCCGATCCGAAGGACTCTGTTACGAACGTATACGACTGCGTTCAGACAATGATAGGACATTTCAGATCATTAAGGATAGTAATCCGACTTTTTCGCTTTTCGTGTCGTAGCGCTGTCTGATCTCAAACGGGAGCAATAATCGGCACTGTGTGAACGCCGCATTACTACCCGTCATACACATATCTCTGTACACCTATAGCTAAGACTAAACATGTCAGACAAACATGCTTCGCCATACCTGTGAAACTTCCTGCATCAGTGACACAAACTTCTGTCTTGTGACAGGTTCACAACTTGATCCAACTTTGTCGTAAAAATTCCGCATTTCCCCTTGGTATTTAGGAACTTCATTTGCAAACAAAAGTTTCGCAGAGGAAGAATCCTGAAATGCAAATACACAATAACACATAAAGATTATTTGTGTCTTTGAGAAAATATCCTACAATACAATATACAGTCACTGTTTAATACTACGATACAATATACAGTCACTGTTTAATCCTACAATACAATATACAGTCACTGTTTAATCCTACAATACAATATACAGTCACTGTTTAATACT